AATACTCATTCCTACATATATTGGTTTATTCAATTTAACTACACTTTTTGCTTTTTCAACTCCTATAAGATTTTCATTGATGATATGCCTGTATTTGAAATTAGGATTATTAACGCATTTTTGGTATCGTTCAGGTGTATCAACCAGCTCAAAGTCAATGTGTTCTCTCACATTTTCCATAGTCTTGCCGTATACAGCGTTGTTCATTAATTTGTACATATCTTTTGAAAAGTCGCTTGTAGCGTCCTTTCGCTTCTCTGTGTTAAAGTCAATCCACGGTTTCAACCATTGCTTGTGTCTAAATTCTATTACTCTGTTTATTTTCTTGATTTTAAGTCCTTGTTTCAAATAGAATTTTAAAATGTCAATATGTAAAACATAATTTTGTTTATCCATAACATTTAGTATCAACTTGTTTGTTTTCTCATCTTTTGGAGCATGATTAAAATGATATGCTTTGTAGGTTTCTTTCTGATAATCACTAAGCATATCTGCTGATACACTCATAATTTCTGGTGCTAATGGATAATCAGTATGTTTGTCGTGGCATTCTTTCGGATATTCTAAATCAACATCTAAAATATATCCTTTGCTACTGTAATCACTATTGTAATATTTAATGTCTTCTTCTGAGAAATTATCTTTTACAAATCTTATTTTCTTGTATGGTAGTTTCTTACACATTGCCAGACCATAAAGATTATTAGCATCTAAATAATTGATGTAGGACGACGGCTTTGTTTCATCATAAGCATCTCCCATATACTTATTATTAGCAGTTGCTTTTCTCATTGAAACCTGACACATACCGCCTCTTAGTCCTTGCTCTATCATTTTATAAACTTCTTCATCGTGTAGAAGTTCTAACTCAATTCCTGTTTTCAATAACATCGCGTCCCAAGCAAAGTTAGGCAAAGTGTAGTAATGGGCGGGGTCTAATTCATAATCTGTTAGACATTGTTTTCTGAAATTCTCATATACATCTGTTAATAATAATACATCGGTTTCTAAATATAAATCGTGATAATGACCGAGGTTTTTAATGTTAAAGTGCTTCCATATTAGTTTTGCTCTTTCATAGTCAGCATCGCTTATATCTTCTTCGCTTAATCTACTATAAAAATGTTTCTTTTCTGGTAGTTCAGTGTCATTAAATTTATTGAAGTCATTACAATAATCATAAGGATAAACTCCCTTTTCTGTCAGTAAAAATAAATCTTTTTCATTTTTAATGTATTTGCCTTTGACACTATATTTAAAATGTTCCTGCCAGTTGTCCCTTAATTTATTATCTTCATATTTTGTTAATTTAACAAGTTTATCTAATGATGATGACAAGAAACTGAAACTATCCTTAAATTCAAGTCTGTTTAATGAAAATGTAATAAACTTCTCACTGTTATGTGCTATTACTGATATTTGTTCTTTCTTTGTATTTAACTTTTCAAGATTAGAAATTATTAGGTGAGCATCATAGTTTTTAAGATTGTGAAAGAATACTGGTATATGATATTTTTTAAAACAATAGTCTATATTGCATTTCATATGTGCCGCTCCTCTGTATAAACCAGTGAAGTGGCAATGGTCAGCAACTTTCTTTTTGGCTTCTACTCTGTTGTCAAAAGTGCCATTGCATAAGAAACACTTTTTAGCTTCTAAATGTTTAATTTCATCTAAATCTGACATAATCATATCTTTTGGATTTTTCATTTGTTTCATTACATCGTCTCTAATATTGTTTAATGTATCACAAAATTTATCCATACAATCATCACCTCTATATAAAAATGGTTTCATTTCTCCACTGTAAGCATTAACAAGGTTAAGCATATAACCGCTGGGTTTATGATTTTGGTATGTTCCCTTTATTCCATCTGATGTTTCTGTTGTTAAACATTCAAAATCACCGTAAATAACAAATGGTGCTTTCAGTTTCTTAAAATGCTTTTCAAACTTCATTGATGTTCCTTCTTCTGGCATTTTTGTTTGTTGAATGTCATTTGCCATACAACCTTTTGATATGTGAGCATTTAAAAGCTTTTCTGATTGAAAACCGTGCTGACAGTAAATACAATGAAATATCTTTGTTTTGTGATTGTTGGTTTGACTACCCATTAATCTATTATAATCTTTTATTAAAACATAATGTTCGTTGTTGTTTTGTTCAATTCGTAACAAATTAATATGACAAGATGGTCTTTCAATTTTTGTTATTCTGTCTGCTCTGATGGTTTGGTTCACATCTTCAACATACACATTAACTGATATAGATTTGTTATTGATTTCTTCAAAATGGTCTATGTCATCATTGGATGCTGGAAAATTCACACCATCCCATTTAATTAGACTTTCAGTAGTCATTAATTTCTTGTAGTGTCTCATATGTTGCGGATGGTCTTTCTTGAAGACTTCATAAAATTTACATAAAACACAATATTTAAAACATAATTCATCATCATTTTGAATGTTGATACATGCTTTTTTCTTTGAAATCCATTCTGGTAGTTCCATATATTTACCTGCCCTGTTCGGGTTGTATTTATCGTAGTGGATGGTGATTTTGTTAATCTTGTTAATCTTCAATCCTGAATGTTTCAAAGGTGAGTTTTCAATTTGTAGTTCAATATCTTTAGGTACATTTTCCAATGCTTTTTTCAAGTCTCCTACATTTAGAATGTTGTATCTCCTGCTTCTCACATTGTGTTTTATTTGTATATTTTCCTCAATTGGTTCGTCTTCTCCATCATCATCATCTTGCTGTCTAAGTTTATCAAAAATAACCTCAACATCAATCAGTAGTTTCATTGATTTTGTTTGTTGTAAAAACTCTGTTAGTTTCTTTTCTTGCCATAAAAGATATGTTAATCCTTTGTATCCCTTGAATGGTATGTTGGATATTGAATATGTGTTGGCATATCCTTTCAATGCTGAAAATGTCTCTGATGTTTTTGCTCCTATTTTTAATCTGTATTTCTGGATTGTTTTAATGCCTCTCATTGTGTTTGATGCTTTTTTTAGAAGATGAAATCGTTTGAAACCTTGTGTGTTGCTGACTTGATTGAGTTTGTTTTGAAGTGATGAGGATAATGGTTTGTCTTTGTTGTAATAGTATTCTTTGTTGTTGATGATTAGTTTTTTCAATGGTTTGTTATTCTTCCCTGTTTTTATGGTTGCTTCATTATTGGATAACAAATAGTCAATTACTGAACCTGAACTGAAATCCCCTGCCATATATCTATACTATATAAGGTATTTTCTCTTTAAGTATTTTTGTTTGTGTTTGGTGGTTATGGGATTGGGGTTGGGTTCAACATTGAAAAACAAATGGGTTTGGGGATGAGTTTGAAACTGTCGTTGAATATGTATCTCACCAAAGTTCCAGTTTCAATACAACATCTGAAACTGGAACTTTGATGTATATATTATATATACCCTGCTTGATAGGTGGTCAGTCCCCAAAAATTAATATTTAGGTGGGCATCCCGAAAAGTTTAGGTGGGAAAACCCAAAATATATTTAGGTGGGCATCCCCAAACAAATATTTAGGTTGTCAGTCCCCAAAAATTAAATATTTAGGTGGGCATCCCGAAAAGTTTAGGTGGGAAACCTCCAAAAAAAAGGTTAAGGGGGAAGCCGCCGACACCTTGAAGAAGACAGTCATGTAGGCGAAGGACAGCATGACTTCATAACCTCGGAGCAAAGCAAATGAGGGCAAGGACTGACACAAACTGTTCAAGCTGAAGCTAACATTGACACCCCTTTTCACACAAAACAAGACCAGTAGTTTTTTCCCACGAGTTTCCGTGGGTGTTTCCCACGGGATTCCGTGGGTGTTTCCCACGGGATTTCAACATCCGTGGGTGTTCCCCACGAGTTTTCAAAACTCGTGGGGAAGGGACGGGCTCAAATGTAGCAATGACAATGCCGTCATTCAAGAAGTCTCTGTTCCCCAAGACTTCACCCCTACTACCCCGATAAAACAGGGTTAAAAAACAGACTTGATTTAATTACTGAATTCTAAATCTACATAATGGCACACCGACGCTCATCAGAAGGTTCAGGTATTTCTTCACCTTCACCATCAGGCCTTGCCATAGCACTTGCCCTTCTCAATCCACGTCGATATTGAATCAGGTTCTTCACGCCCTCTACAAATGGATGATGGTTGTAGATAAGGTCTGTTCCACGCATCTTTGAAAACTGCTTGCCGTATGCTTCAAGAAAAGTTCTTAGGATGTCAGCACGCGCGCGTTTGCTTTGCTTGATACATTGTTCCAACTGCTCCATCTCACCAATCAAAAGACAAGCAAGAGAAACCAACATATCCTCGCTGACAAACTTGTTTTCCTTGTAATTGAAGTTCTCCTCAGGGTTCTCAAAAAGCAGGAGGATGCCCTTCACCTTATCGTCGGGGAGTTCATTGAGAAGGTCGGTCAGGTTGAAGTCATTGCTCTCCATGCGGTTCTTGGCAGTGGTGATTTTCTGGTTGATTTGAGTGAGCAATGGTGATAAAGCTGCTGGAACTGCTGTGTGGTCGTCTCCGTCTTCTGTTTGAACTTCCTTCATTTCCTTGAAGCGGTCGCACACAATCTTCCATGATTTATTCATCATCGCCTTAGTCGCCTCGGTCTTTTTCAGAAACGGCTTCTGGACTTGCTTCGGCATTGAAGTGAGGCACAAAGAGAACTACTGATTTCAACCTAAACCGCTTGATGGTGCAAAACGCCTACTGACATACAAAGATTAAAGCAAGGTCAATGAGTGAGATAATTGCATCAATGACTGACACACCTGAGCAACAGCACTGGCAGGCATGTTGTTTCAATCGCAACTGGTTTGATGGTGAATGGATGCCACACGGAAATGCTCAAGCAACTTCGTGAATAGAAGTCTCACAAAGCAATCCGACACACACAACTGTAAAGTAATGAAGATAGAACATATGGTTTGGAGGGAATGCCTTCGTGAGACTTGGCTGGCATCATCTATGAAGATGGAACTTAGTTCTCTGTCTCCGTGTCACTTGTCTCACTCTCACTCTCACCGCCCTCCGCAATGTCATCGTCCTCTGCAGTGGTCTTGTCGTCCGCAGTGGTCTTGTCGTCCGCAGTGGTCTTGTCGCCCGGCAATGAGACTTTGATGATGTCCCCGTTTTTTAGTCCCAAAGTGTTCAAACGCTTCAACCCGTAAGACTTGCCGTTGTTGGAGATGTACAGGTCGGTTCCGTTGAAGTCCATGATGAGCCGCTGCTTGCCTTTGAGGTTGAAGCGTTCCACCAACTTATTGCGTAGATTGCCCGTGGTACTGCCTTTCTTGACAGACACCTCATGGTCTGTGTTGTTGTACTTGATGACGAGGTTGAGGTAGCTGTTTCTGTCCTCCTGCTTGGTCCGCTTGGTTTCCTCTGCTCTCGCCTTGATTTTTGCCTGTCTGGCTTCTGCTTTGGAGGGGGCTTCCAACTCATTGACCAACGTCTTGAAATCGCTTTTAAGTTTCTTGAGCTCCTCCTGCTCTTTGTTGATGAGCTTGAGTTTGGTCTCCAGCTTCTCCTCAAAGCTTTTAATCTCCGTGATGTTCAACTTGTTCGTCTTCATCTTGGTGGTGAAGTCCTCAATGGTTTGGGCTGTGATGTCCTCTGCTGTGATGTCAGCATTGTATCCACCAGAGGACGAAGCACCGGAAGTCATCACGCTCTGCTGTGATGTCATTGCTCACAAAGGTTCTAATGAGGTCCAGTCAAAGACTTGTCTCACTCAACAGCTTGAGATACAAGCAAATGCAACTAATCAGCGTCTTCACTTGACAGAAAGCTTCACTTGACAGAAAGCTTCACTTGACTGCAGTGAACACTCTTGGCATCCCGACAAAATAGAGCTTGATGTTCATGAGGACGAAGCACGGACGGTCGACAGTTCCCGAAAATGTTTAACCCTAAACAACCCCATATGTTTCAACCCTCAACCCTAAACAAGAGAAACCCTCCTATCCCCCAGAAAGCCTTAAAATTGTCTGAAACCCGAACCTTGAAAATGATGAAATCTTAGACTGTTTCATAATGAAAAAATTGTAAAAAAATGTTGAGAAAATTTAGGAAAATTCCCCACAATCCCCCTTGGTGTTTTGGACAAAATGGTTTGCTTGTTGAAAATGAACCCTGCCCCTGAAACCTTGAACTGAAAATACCCTACCCCAGGGCCCCCCTTATAACCATTTTTCCCCTCCGCTTCCCATTGAATCCTCCGGAAGGACAACCGAAGTGATGGGCACAAGCGCATCGCCTTGGTCGGACTCAGGAAAACTGCTTCGGGAGCGCTGTGACGGATTGCATGGCGGTTTCCCTTCCGGATGCCCACCCTTGATCAATTCGTTGGCCACTGCTTCGTTCATCCTTGCTATGGCAGGGTGGCATCCGTCGCCGCTTGACGCCATTGCGGCGCGGGTGAGAGCTGACTGTACAAGGTACCAGCGATACGGCTGATAACCTGTTGAAAGGTGGAATCTACCTAAATGTCAGCACGGGCGGCAGTCAGTTTTTTCTTGAGCCAGTATCATGTCGGAATGCCACTACCTATCAACAATGTGTTCATGAGCTGCTGCCGTTGCGGCTCCACTTCAGTTCCGTAACTCCTAGCGCAACACCACAACAACAAGAGAAACCACTGATCTAGGGAGTTTGTCTCTGCGCAAGTGAGTGGTTGTTGCGTAAAGCTAAGGGGTGGGGGCAAGGATGTCTTGAATTCAGGGCCCCTCCAAATGGGCGTCCTTTTTGGTTCCCGTCAAAACCAAAGCAACAAGGGGTTCCGACAACAAGGCGCGCCTAAATCATTGCTGGTTTGGGGAAGGAGTCACATCAGGTGAGTCACAGGCACTACTCCAATTGGTCCAACCAGCCACCAAAGGGCAATGGCTCTACTCAAAGGGGAGACACATACGTATACGGCATTTCAGCTTTTCCCTTCAAAACCACGAGGAATACTACATCATCGGGAAGTGAAAGAGGGCAAGTCTTGTTGGGGGCCTGGAAAAACCATTGGATCTGTAAAATCAATTCACTCTTGGTGCCTTCTGAAGAAGTAAAGGGACCATGTATTTTGCCCAAGCAGGAAAATGGTCCAAAAGGTAAATGCTGAACTAATGGCCTTTTGAAGGGGAAGCACTTCGGCACTTCGAGAAATCCCTATTTTGCAAACCCCCATCGTTTAGGCGGTTGCGTGCGAGCCGCCGGTGAAATTTCCCACAGCTTCCGACAGCTGCCCAGTGAGGTGTCGGGAAAGGTCGCCGAACTGGTACTTGTCCTTCCCGGTCAGCTTGTTTATGAACAAATCACCTCGCAACAGAGAAAACTACACAGTGTTGAGTTGGGGTCATGATTTATTGACTGTTCCTGAGGGTGTCAGAGTCATTGACCTACCATGTAGGAGGTGACTCTGATCATGGTGAAACTCTAGAAACAGAGTTGCCCCCAAGAGGTCAGGGGGACGTTGGCCCCGCCCCGGGTAAGTTGTCGCGCTCTCGCCCCGCCCTCTTTAGCGCCTGAGCAGCGCGGTGCCCAGCAAATATTGCGTGACTCAGGCGGATAGCAGTAGGCGTCCAATGCAATGACCGAGCGTTACGCTAGCGCTACTCTGGAGGCCCAGAGGAAACGGGTGCGCATTTTTTTGGGCCTTTGTTTCGTTTTTTTTCCCGTCCGGGCCAGTAAAATGTCGTATTTTATACAGCATTTTCTCGCGAAATTGAGCATTTTACACTAGCCCGCCAACATCCCCCCCTAGCATCACCAACAAAGCATGGGTAACATAATCAAAAAAGTAGCTGGCAGGTTGACGGGGTCAAACAAATCATGATTCAAATAGGAGGGCATTTCAATCCCTGTAAAAAAAAAGTAGCGGGGCGGTTGGGGGGGGGGGGCGGCAGCCCCCCCCATGATGTTCGCAGAAGTGATGATTCGAATAGCTCTGCAGAAAGTCTAAACCCCCCCGTGATGTTCGAAGAAGTGATGATTCAATTCGGGGTGCAATTGAATCTCTGTAGAAAATCTAAAACATAGCGGGGGGTTGGGGGGGGCCCCATGATGTTCGAAGAAGTGATGATTCAAGTAGGGGTGCAATGATTCAGGAAAGGGTGCGATAGAATGTAAAAGGCAGCAGGAGGGTTGGCGGAGGTGGCTTCCCCTATGATGTTCGAAGAAGTGCATACATACAGACATACATGGATTACATAGATTACCTAAAATGTCGTATGTTACAGCATTTTCTCGCGAAATTGGACGCTCAAAAAAGTGATGATTCAAATAGGGGTGCAATTAAATCTCTGCAAGAAATCTAAAAAGTAGCGGGGGGGTTGGGGGGGAAGCGGCAGCCCCCACCATGATGTTTGAAGAAGTGTTGATTCAAACAGGGGTGCAATTACTCTGCAAAAAAACTAAAAAGTAGCAGGTGGGTGGGCGGGAGCCGCCCATGATGTTCTGATTCAACTAGGAGAAAACTGGTGATGCTGATGATGCGGGAAGCCAAACAAAAAACCAATGAAAGGGTGCAAAAGCCAAAACGCCAGGAGAGGAACTGGGAAAGCAGAGGATGCGAAAAGCCAAAGCCGCCAAAAGCCGCATAAACCAGCGAAAACGCAAAAGCCAAAACGCCACCTGCCGAAGAGGAACTGGGAATGCAGAGGATGCGAAAAGCCAAAGCCAAAAGCCACCGACCAAAAGCCGCATAAATCAACAAGAAGCCGCAAAGCCAAGAAGCCGAGAAGCCAAAAAGCCAAGAAGCCAAGAAGCCGAAAAGCCAAGAAGCCAAGAAGCCAAGAAGCCAAAAAGCCAAAAGCGGAAAAACACAATCCTAAAACAAATACCCCTCCAGAGGAAACTACGAAGAGACAGATTGAATATAATGATGGCCTGGGAAAAATTGTCTCAAAAATGCAGGATTCCCTTTTCCTGGGTTCCCAAATGCTTCTCACTACTCCGGTCCCTTGGATGATAAAGAGCCTGGCACCGTGGGATCTGTGGGCATGAGGCTCAAACAGCGCTTGCCAAAAAGCGCCGTCTTGCGGGACAAAGGCGGTGTTTCGGTATATTGCTCTATGGAATTCGAAAACAAGAGCGAAAAGGAAAGGATCAGCAAACAAGGAAAGATGGAGCCGCAAAGAACAAGGAATGGCAACAGGATCGTTGGTTGCAGCTTTCTTAACCCGTTGGATGTGCCTTTTCCTTGCGACGTTTTCCATAGCAAAACCGGCCAAATCGATCAGGCCCCTGTAACGCTAGCCCTCTTGTGCTCGCCCTTGCGCCCTCTTGCTCCGTGCTGCGCTTCTCCGTGGCAGTCAGAAAGCCCACTGCCACCCTAGACTACTTGGAAGTACTACCCACTTCCAACCCAAGTGGCCCAGTCCACATCGCTGCACTCCCAGCAAACCCTGGACCAAAAAGTCAGTGGAGCACATACACCTGGCTGTGCTTCACAAAATGGCAAAAACAATCGGGACATATTCGTGGCCTCTCACAAAAAAAGGTCATGGTGCAAGTCTCAAGAACAGGGACTGAACAGTGCTTGCAGCTTGAGAGGGGAAACTTGAGGAGCGTCCAACACCCATTGTCTATGCTTTTATTAACATGGATATGAAGGTTTATACAGTCTTCACCATACAAAAACAATACAGTAAGGTAGTAGAATCACCTTGCAAGATGTCCCTCTTAGGATTTTAGGCGCTGCAAGGCTTCCCAACATCACTGCCCGCCAAAACGCCACGGTGCCGAACTGGTAGCCACGTTGTTCGCCTCACGCCGCTTCAACGGTGTGGATATGCCTCAAACTCGTCAACCAAAGATGGGGCTCCCAACAAAAGACACATCCATATTGCCTCTTGAAAGACTCACCGAAAATTGGCCAAAACAGATTGATGTTTACAACCACCGAAAAGAGAAAGATAGCCCTGTGGCAGGACAAACCAGAATCAGGGATGAATGAGTGTTGTTAACCCTGGATTAACCTGGCAGGTTTGTTGGAGGTGCTTCCTTAGTGAAGCATCCCAACATGGGACATGCTCCTACCCATCAGAAGGTGGAACCAGCCGTAGATCAGGCATTTCGCCTGTGATGTTTTCTGAGTGCTTCGGGCTCGGAAAGGCTTCGGGCGACCCATTTTCGGCCTGGCGGGGGGGGGGGGGGTGTCACGACTCAGAACCAACATGTGACGTTGGAAGGGTCTGCCCAAAGAATCAATCGCACGGAGATCCGGACCTCACGGAGATCCGGACCTATGCAAGGCAAGGGAACAGTCCCCTACTAACCCTGAACTACCAAAGGTTTTGCTTGTGGCTCCTGTGGGGCGCCTGTCCCTCATCCGCAACTATTGTCATGCACTACGCTCTTGCAAACCCCTCGATGAAGAAATGTCAGGAGGGGAACCAAAAACAGAACTCCGACACACACACACACAATCCTCTGCCCTTCTTCTGACACGCCTTGTGCTCGCAAAGGCCGTGCTGTGCTCCGGCGCTTTGGCAAAGAGAAATTAGCAAAGAGCACCTGGCTCCGCGGCGCATGCGATCCAAGCGTCGACCACAATCCGTGCAAGCGTGGGTTGAGGGAAGGCAAGCCCCGGATATGGGCATTCGGGCTTGACAAAGTCTCGTTCAGATCCCATATCATAGGCATGGAATACGAAGGGACCCGCCTTAGGAAAACGGTTTGGTGGGCGGGGGAAACAAA